TGTGTGTGTGTGTGTGTGTGTGTGTGTGTGTGTGAACTCGAATGTTTCTTGTTCGCTTTTCTAATTTGCTCGACCTGTTGGATTGTATGGTGCCGGGTTTCAGTGGTTTGTGCTTTGTCTGAAAGAAGGAAGGGGGATAAAAAAAAATCACAGCATTCCTTGGGACGAGGCTACTTTAAAAAAGAAAAAAAACTTGTTAGGATTGAGGAGTAAACTTGACTAAGCAAATCATAAAATAATAATAATTATAATAATATAAAAATCAGGGTTTCCCATTCTGTGCCACTTGGTATATTTTATATATATCAGCGCTGTCTTTCCTCTGGCGTGCTAACCAGCTTGGCCACAAACATCCATGTGCCCAAATATTCAGTTTCAGACATGTATACAAGAAAAGCTCAGTTAATGTAGACATGTATACAAGAAAAGCTCAGTTAATGTCTGGTCATATGCTCACGGTTAAGCCTTTATTAGATTTGACATAAATTTATTCTCGGTGGTTGTGGGATTTCTTTTGTTATTATTATTGTTGGTGTTATTATTTAAAATGATTATTTTTCTAAGGGTGGTTGTATTCTGGTTTTCAGTCATGTTTTTATTTCTGCGGACTATTTCCTGGTTTGCAAGCGTGTGACTGCACATACGCAGGCCCAAACACAACGCGGGCCTTGTATACAGACAATCAAAAAAAAAAAAAAAAAACAGAAAGAATTTTTTTTGAATGAATAAGGCTCCTTTATGAGGTCTCACGACAGACTCGACAGATTTGTGTCCCTCTAGGTCCACATGGCCTCGGCTTCCTCTGGACGCAATAAGAAGTTGTGCCGGGGAGAGTGCGCGCGCGTGGTGAACATGTAAATAATTCAAGAAAATATAAAATGCAGACAAAATGGGATGTGATTTAGTGATAATGGGAGGGGAGGGGGAGTGGAGGGGGAGGCACCAAGAAAGAAAAGAAAAACGAAAAAAAGAATCTGCGTGAAAACACCTTCTAGCCACTAATAAGAAACAATGCGACCAAGCACATGAGAGGGGCTTAAATGCATTGCATTTTGAATGTGTTTAGGTTGTTTTTCAGCTTTAGGGATTTCTAACAAACGTGAAATTACGCGCGAGAGCTGTTGATGCAGAAAGGGATAGCCCCCACCGCCGGAAGATTGACTGTTTGATTTAGGGTTAAATATTTTAATATTTACAATTCAGCCATGTGCGACCGAACCATCCAAATGCTGATTTTCTCATCCCTCATTCTCAGTCTCGTTGTTCTTAAAGATGAAAGAAAAACACAGTTCTTTACTATCATTGGGTGCCTTCCTTATAGGGAAGGCAGAAATGCAATCAGGTTCTCTGAAATCTCGCTTCCTTTTTATTTCCTAAACGCATCATCATCATCATCATCATCATCTCACCGTTCTGAATGTAGCCTGTTTTTTTTTTTAATATGGCCGCTCTCGGAGTAGTAGCAGGCTATCCCAGACCTGTTTAATGTAGCCCCCACCCATAGCAGTACCAACTCCGACTCGAGCCTACACGCCTTTAAATCAAGTGGTCGAGAAGCACCTACACGTATAGGCATTTTAAGTGAATGTGTGGATGTTTTTAATGGCAGTTGCAGGACGCGCTCTGCTAATTGGTGTGCTTTTCTGTCCGCGACAAAGAGAGGCCCCAGCTTATAGGGTGAGCCAGATCACAACAAACCCAAAGCCCCGTGAATGATGTCAGCCTCCTCCACAAGCACAGCAAAGGGCGCATTCATTCAGAGGATTGTAGAAACTATGTAATACGTGATTGTATAGAGAGAGAGAGAGAGAGAGAAAAAAAAGAGAAGAAAAAATGTACAAAAAGTGCGTTTCACTCTGCCTGCACCATTGTGGATACATGTGGTAGATGTTTAGCCATGTGATTAAAGCGCCACTCTGACTGAACTCACCGTGAGCCTTATGTCTGAGGCTGGGAGAGACAATTCGGACTTGAACTCATATCCCCTACAAGCTTGTAAAAAAAAATGAAAAGAAAAATGTCTAGTTTAGAAGCTACACAACACGAGCTCGTGTTTGTGCAGGCTAGCAGTAAAAACGGAGGGGGTTGCGATGGGTTTGGAGTGTAGTGGTGGTGTTGGTGTCGATGGTGGAGGAGGGGGGGGGGTAGGCGTGTTGCAAGAGTGAAGCTTTCAACCTTTAATCCGCATGTCAAAAGCATAGGTTGCACGGCATAGGAGGAAGAGGAATCGCCTGCGCCGTGGAGTTGCGCTGGCTTTAGGCCCCCCTCTCCTGACGCACCAGCCTATTCTCACAGTGCACGGCTGAGGGGGGGCGGAGGTGGTTAGAATGGCCTGTTGGGAGGGCCTTTCCGCCGTTAAGACAAACAGCTCTCTGACAGTGACGCTATCAATGTAAACAATTGCATCGCACAGCAACTACAAGCTTCATGCTCTCTCCCTCCATACTCCTCATGTTACCCACTTCCCTGCCCTCCATTCATTTACTTTTTGATTTTAACTTTTTTTTTTTTTTTTCTTTGGATACAATACTTGAGGTCAGGTTTTTTGACACGGAATTTGAAGTCACTGGTTGTTTATATGAAACTGAATATTTATTTTTGTGAATTTTATGGGGTTTCCTGTATATTGATTGATTTTTTTTTTCATTCTTCTTGTGAATATACATGAGAAAACTGCACTCGAAATAGAAACTTGAACGGTGGATTTCTGAAGCACTTTCCCTTTCTTCTTTTTTAAATGATAAAGCATTCATTAAACGGGACTGAGTGTAATTGTCGGGCTCCTTCTCCTTCTTTTGAGATGGGTAATCGTTTTTTGTTTTGGTGTGTGTGTTTGTGTGTGTGTGTGTGTGTGTGTGTGTGTGTGTGTGTGTG